GGGGGTTCTGGAGGGAGTTGGGGAGCGTTTGGGGAACATCTGTAACGGTTCCCGTTACAATTAGCACTAGTTATATTAGTTGTTGTACAAAATGGAGGGCCAGGGATTGGGAAGGCCATTACATTTTTGGAAAAAGAGCAATGTTTTTAAATAAGTAAAAGCCATCTGAAGCCACATGTACTTCCAAATGTATTGTGAGTAATTTGTTGACTTCCTTACAGATATTACACTACTTTAAATTGCAGTGCAGCCCTTGTTATCAGAATTAAAAAAAAACAAACACTGTCACAATAGATTTTACACTTTTATTTATTACTTGGCTGACATTATGATTTTTTCTACAGTGCGGCCTTCCCTGCTGAGCGCCCACCCCAAGAAGAAGATCACGGCTAACTTTAACATCCTGAGTGACGATCTAGACGATGACGGGGCGGATTGAGCCGACGGTCTGGAGTGGGAGAGTAAGTTTGTATATCTGTCTGTCTGTCTGTCAGAATTGTGTACAGTAACATATACTGAGTCTGATGGTTTTGAGTGAGAAAGTAAGTGTGTTTTATCAGTCTCATTGCTGTACACACAGGAGAACATTACCTGCGTACTTTAAGGGGATGAAGGACCTTTAGCTGAAAAAATACCTGTCATTTAATTTTTTTCATATTTTTTATATATCTTATTTAGTATGTCCCACATACTATAAAGCAGACATATCAATAGGTTTCTTGACTTATTTTCAGAGATATTGAATGATAAATACCACACCCCACAGTGTCTGAGCGGAGTTTTTATTCTCCGTGTTTCTGGGTCCATAACTCGGTCGATAATTGAATTTTTTCAGCATAGATAAAAAACATGCCCGCGGCAATGTGTCTTTTAAAATATTTTAGGGTATGAATAAGGTTAAAAATTCGAAACAGCAAGATTCTTTTGTAACACTGCACGTGGAGACGGAAATTTACGAACTTTTTAAGACAACTTAAACAATAAAAAAATTAATTTGCAAAAAATCCTATCATTCAATATTTGAAAATTTACGTCAAAGTTTAATTTCGTCATTGTATTGATTAACTGTAAAAATATCGATTGGTGAAGCTGAACTCAATATTGCACAAGGGGCAAAGTTAAACGAGACACGATCATGAGAAAAACGTGTCTTGTTTACATTTCTTGAGTACGGGAAAACTCAACTATGACGTCACACATTTCTTAAATAAGCGAAATTAGCCACACCCACAGAACATTTCTGTCAAAAACCATGTAAAAATAGTTTTTGCAGTCTGAAATTCACAAAATACCCAACAATTTACAGACCATATGGCCCGTTTTTATGATCTTATACTACCCGTTTTAACCATGTATGATCTTACTGTACTAAGAGATCCACTATGACGTCAACGGCGCGCTGGACGCGCAGTGTAGGGAAACGGAAGGGTGGATTAATCATTTCCGTAATTTGATAATATTTTGCAAGAAATTTTAAATGTTTTCAGATATGTTTGTACTAGATGGTGAACGCAAACTAACAGTAAAAAAATTATACTAGTACTGTGGTTTCAATCTCGTTTTGTACATATTTTATAGAGATTATGACGTAATTCAACTGAGTCACATGACCATATATCCTTCATCCCCTTAAGTCATGGAGCACAGGGGTAATAAAGGCTTGGCTTAGATATAGTTGCATGTTCAAAGATTACTGGTTCAATTAAACCCTGTGGCACCTGATGTTGTTTGCTGTATCCGTAGACAAAGCATTTTATCTGCACTATCTCAGTCCACAAGTGTGCAATGGATTAACCTGCATTGGAATACTTTGAACAATTACTGTAAAACAACTTTTAATCGCGTGCGAGAAATTTCGCGAAGTTCGCGAGAGCCTCGTCATCGCGAATATTTCTCGCCGCGAACCGGTCATTATAGTCTATCTGTCTACTAACAAGAGAACCTACATAGGCGTGATCGCCAAAATTAATCGTCGTGAACTAGTTTACCCATGGCAAATCGCGAAATAAAGTAATTGAAATAAAAGTTGGTTTACAGTATAAGATTAGCAGTATCCATCCTTCAATCTATCCATCATTTAAATGATGTGTGTATATGTCCAGAATAATTTTTCCTTCTTTAAATGGTTTATGGTTCTATCTTTTCAAATATCTATTCATAATTTGACCTTTTTGTCTAAATTTCTTTAAAAAATTAAGTCTTCCATTCAATTGTTTGAACTTAGACCTTTGCTCTTCATTTAAATATATTGACTGAGCATGACCCAACATTTAAAATGCGTGACTATTTGCCCATATCTTTTATTGTTAAATAAAGCCTGTCATTAGTTGATGGCTACTGCACCCTGTGTATTCCTAAAAAAGGTAAACACAAGTAGTTTTATAAACTTTAGAAGGAGGAAATAATAATATGTTATTTAGCTTCCTTGTTCCCTATTAATAAGTAGTTTATATTTGACATGGCCGGTAAGCTTTTATAAAAGTCTGGGTGTTTTAAAAATTTAATTTTAGAAGTTGGGGGAAAAAAAATTTGTTAGTGTTCAATGTAGATGATATTTATGGAAAAGATAACACAAGTAAGTTGTTGAATGTAGTTTTATTTTTTTTTGTCTTTCCAGATGATACACCTATCAAACGGTCGGATCCACTCCCTGAATTCTCTGCTCGGGATGAATACCGCGAGTCTAAACTCTGGAAGGGGGTGGAGATCGGAGGAAAACAGATGAAGATTGACCTGAAGGTCATTGAGCCATATAAAAGGGTCCTCTCTCATGGAGGTATGGTCCAAGTGCAAAGTAAATACTGTATTTCAATAATAGGTCATAGGTCACAAGGACTTTCACATTGTCAAAGATTATCCCTTTTGCCAGCATATCTTGCATCCTTAGTAAGTTACCTGTATATATATTCATTAAACCTTACACAGTTTAACAATTTTGTACCATAATTCCTTTACTGGCATAGTATGGGGCAATGTGGAAAACAATGAATATGTACATATATATATTTCATTTGTCATACATGTATATACATGTACTGTCCTATAAAGGTGCTACATGTACTGTTATTGTTGGATGTATCTAGCAACAGGTGACCTCAGATCATCCCAACAAAGGGAAATAACTCTTATTAATAAACATGTTAGATGTCAATACCATTCTCCTTTTGTGACTTGATAAGTCATGATGCAATCAACTGCTGTTTTGGTCTGCTTTCTATCAGAAATTGTCTTGGAAACATATTTCAGTATACTGGGTATTTCAGCCATAAATCACTGTTTGAATAATCATTTTAGTACATGTATTGTTGTATTTATATTTTTTATTGCTAATGCTAATCCATACAAATGTGTATTAACTTTTTAAGGTTACTATGGAGAGGGACTGAATGCCATTATTATTTTCTCGGGATGTTACTTACCAGACCACAGTAGGAAAGATTATCAGTATGTGATGGATAATTTATTTATGTAAGTATGCATGAACAGTAAAACTTGTCTAATCCATATGATAAAGTAACTTTTATTAAATTCAGTTGTAAAGAATGTATCATCAAAGAGCTATCTTTCTATACGCATGGAAGGTTTTAAAAATTCTTTTAAAGGACGTATTAGTATTTTGTTTTATAGTTATTGCACATTATTTGATTATACAGTTAAAAAGGTTATTGATCATTTTTTAGAGTGAACGTTTTCTTGTGAAATTCATTGATCTTTATAAAAAAAAAAAATTCCAGGTATGTGATAAGTACCTTGGAGACCCTGGTTGCCGAGGACTACATGATTGTTTATTTCCATGGAGCCACACCACGGCGACAGATGCCAAGCTTTGGTTGGCTAAAAAAATGTTACCAGATGATTGACAGAAGGTCAGGGGTCTTTCAATATTCAAGCTAGAAATTGAAAATGTTTTAGAAAGACTTTGTAATGATCATTATATTTTTCCTCAGTTTAAAAGTATTTCAACCACAAGTTAAAAAAAAAATTTAAATAAAGAAGTTTTCTCTGTATATAACTGAACTGTAAATTACAAACTTTCTCATAAAATTCACAAAAAGAAAAGTTGCATGCCTTAGGCATTACTATGTTTGTTAAAATGATATAAAATGTGTAATTTTCCTTTAAGATTGAGGAAGAATCTGAAGTCCTTAATGCTGATTCATCCCACTCTGTGGTTAAGAACTATAGTCATGATGACCAGACCATTTATCAGGTATACTCTCATTGGCAAATCTATTGAAGCCCAATAGGGCCATGTAGTTCACTATGGCACTATCAAGCAAAACCTCTGTGATCTTTGACACGATAGCAGGGGTGCAGCAATCATGATGCATTGCAAGGCTAGGGCTATAGCAAATGGCACAACAATGTGATGATGATGATGGTGGGATAGTATGATGGAGAGAAAGTGAACATCACCTTATCATCAGGGCACAACTGCATCATTGTTATTACTTAACGAGACCAAGTCTAATTATTTCTGCCCTAGGGATTTTAATTATTTTTTGAAAGATAATTTTTACTTTTATATTTATTGATTTAAGATTAAAAAATCAAATGATTACTGTTGCACAAATGACTGCATGAAATTGATAAGCTGTGCAAAGTCATGCACACTCGAATTTGACTCGGCCGCGTTAAAATCACTTTTCATTTGTGAGAATTTTATTTTTGTATAATTACCTGAGAAAATGTGCTCACAAAGATTTCATCCTTGTAGCAGTTAATAACCACAGTTTGTGAAAATTTTGTTTTTATAATAAAAAGTTAATGAATATCATGCAAAAATAAGGTGTCACAAAAATTGAGTGATTCATGTTCATCACACTATTGACCCACACCTTGCTGGAGAGTGATGAATATTGAACTACATGGCCCTGTCCAGATTGAAATTGTCAAGAAAATATTGCACATTTATGACCATATATAATCAAAATTATTAGGATAACATTGTACAGTAAAAATTACAATATCTGGTTTGTTTTTTCTCCAGTGCCAAATTTTCCTCCAAGCTGCGGTTTGTGCGGTCGCTGTCAGAACTAGGTCAGATCATTCCTATGGAGTATATTTCTGTCCCAGAACAAGTTCAACAGTAAGTATGGGATCCAAAGGAGGGGATCAAACATAAATTAATGAATGGGGAGTGGATCAAATGTAGGTGCTAAACTTGAGAATGTATAGAAAATCAGAAAATCAGTGTTTGAAAAAATTATATGTGTTGAAAACAAATTGATTTGTAGAACTACTATTTTTTCACAGCTTTGAGACTTTAAACACAACCCTAAATCTCACTGCTATATTATTTCAATAGCAATAAGACTTCACTGCATTCTTGCTAGTTTATAATTAATTGCTATTCATCTTGGTAAGTTTACATGAAAAGAAGAGTGTCTGAAATTTTAAAAAATCATAAATTTATCATTTCCTGTATTTTATAACTGCTTTATTATTTGCTGCTAGTGTATTTATTGTGAATAATTTAATGTCATATTGTTTTGTTTAGGTACGATGATAGAATAATACAGCACCAGGCTAAAGTTACCTCCCCTATCTCTCACTCTCCTGAACCCCTTACCTCCCTTCCTAATCCCAGAGCAGCCACACACAGCACATTTATCACAGCAGGCAAGTATATCCAAATATCCTAAGGCAAGCCAAACAGCATATTAGGCAAGTATCTATAAATATCCTGATAAAGCCGAGCAGCATATCTATCCCAGAGCAGACACACAGAGCAGGCAGATATCTACTAAATCATTTAAGTTGAGAGAAGTATCTTTAATATCTTTTGCAAGAAAGAATCTCTAAATATTTCTACCAGGAAAGTATCTTTTAAAATCTCCAGCCGATAAGTATCTCTAAATATCTTAAACAGGCTAATATCTCCAAATAGAGGACAGAATTGATCATTATAACAGTAACTTGATCTGAAGAGCGGTATTACAGATTATCAGATCTAACTCCAAACTTGACGTCTCGATTGATCTGTTGATAGGCCTCTGTCAACAAAATAATATTTCCATTCCCTACAAGGTAATAGAGTAAATTTGTAAATTTTTTAACAGAATAGAAGTCATGTTGGAGCAAAATCCTAATTTTCTAGAGGAGTTTGACAATGAAAAGGAAGAAAAGAAGAAAGAGAGGGAGAGAAAGAAAGAAGAAAAAAGGAAAAAGAAAGAGGAGGAAAAACAGAGGAAGCAGGACGCAAAGGCTGCATCAAAAGGGAGGGGGCTTAAAGGATTCTTTAGGAGAAAATAAACCTTGTACAATGGGACCCCACTAAACTTGACTACCCTTAAATTCTCCCCCTTGAGTAAATTGTGTGGATTAGTTAGGGATCTCCAAACATGGATAAATTAAGTCTCCAAAGCTGAAACATAAATTTTATTAATTATTAAAGATTCAATTCTATACCCTGTAAATTTTGCACGGGAGATGAAACACTTGACTTCTGAGAATAAAATGTGCTTAAGGCCATTTCTGTTGAGTTTTACTTAATTACAGAAAAATTCTTAACCTTGATCCCTATTAAACTTTTGTTTTGATTGTCATTTTGTACACGTTATTTGCTCGTTCAGAGATTAATACTGTTGAAGGAAGAAAAAAATGTAAGCTGGCTGTGTGAGTAAGCCCTCTATGTATGTAATATTGTCAAGAGGATTTTGTTTCAGTTGTACATGACCATCTTGTTCATACATATGATTGGTGTTCTTTAAATCAATCTGCTTCTTTCTATATAAAACACTCTCCATTTTTACTGTCTGTGCTTTATTTAAGCAGATATTTGTTTAGTTGTTCATTGTCATTTGAACATTCAGTTTTGTACTAGATGTGATTTTCTTATTCTGTGTAATTTGTGATTTATTTTATTTTTTATTTACATGTATGTATCTAAAAAATGTAATTCTGAAATTAAAACTAGTGCAATCAATATTTGCCAGATTTTATAATCATGTTTTAATTGCAGATATATGTTGCCATGAACCGCCGCTGCTGTTCGTGGGATATTACAAATATATTTACACTTGATTTAATTTCTTTCTTAGATATTTGCATGTTTGTACAACAGTGATCCATGAATATATGAAAAGGAAATATATGTGTGTGAATTTTCTGCTTCTTTCTTGAAGAGCAACCAATGTTTTCTTTATAACATAACCTACTGACAATCTAAATGCAGATGCCATATAGTTAATAAAACAGAAGAATTGTTTTTCACAATCATTGTAATTTTTTGCCTCATGTATACCAGTACATGTATATGTGCATTGTAACCTCAATATTAGTATTTCTAACTAATTATATGTATTTATGAGGTAATGCCAATGTTTTTGATAAAATGTTGTAAATTCCTTATTCCTATTAAGTGCTGCGTATCATTTGTCCTGCTGAAAAATGTTATACGATTTCAAGAAGAGATAACTTGTTACAGTTTTCTTGTTTTGTAATTATTAAGATATTTTAATAAATCACAATAGAAATTTTACATGTCAGTGTTTTTAAATTTCAAAGAAGGTGATTGTTTTTACTTTTTAAAAAATTGGGATACACCATCTTCTCTGATTATTCATATGAAATTTTGTCTTTGAAGTAATGATCTCTCTAAAGACATCTAATAAATATTAAATTATAATGTGAATTACTATATAGTAATAGCAAGATAAATTGAGGGAAAATTTACACAGAAAAGGCCTTAAAACTCCTTTTTTTTTTTTACCAAAGAGTGATACTCATACTAATATTTTAGCTTTGTTTTCTCTCATTCCAGGACTATTGAATGTGAAATTCAGGTAATTTGCCCCTCAGTTTGTTTTTAACACACCTGAGCTGACTGGTTGACAGGGGATGCTTACTCCTCCAAGGCACCTGAACACTTGATATTTTCAGGGGTTGATTGTGTTGAGAATACACTGTAAATATTTGTTATTCATTCAATTCCATTAAATCTGAGGCTAAGTTGAAACTAATACTTTCACGTTAACATTTCGAAAAATTTGTGTATCGTCGATTTTCCTTATTTATGTAAATCATATATGGTACCAATTTTGATGCACCAGATGCGCATTTTGACAAATTTATGTCTGTTCAGTGATGATCATGCCCAAACGTAGGATGGAAATCCGAGAAAAATATTAAGAACCCTGTCTACACTGCACACTAAAGAGCTCTGATTCTGTGGTATCTTTCTGCAGTTAGAGTGATCTGCCCTTAGATATATGAATTCTGAAAACCAGAAATTTACAGTATATTGCTAAGTTTGTAATAGATCTAAGTATTATCCGTGTTTCAGAATGCCAACATAAATAAATTGGAACCCATTATCTACATATTACATGTACATCTACATGTTCTGAATGGAAGAAACAAGACTGGTGAAGAGTGATTTCTGTTCACTGATATACTGCATTGTGTTTGAACATCTTTCCTGGGGGTAAATGCCACGTATCATGTACTGAAAATTAAACAGATACGAGGGGTTATCAAAAAGTTCATGGACTAAGGCTATAAAATAAGTACTACATGTATGTAGTTTTTGCTTTCAAAATTTAATAAGAACATAAAGCAACAAACAATTTTTGATAATACGCATTTCATACTCAAGAACGGAGACGTATAATTTTCAAAGAATTAATGCGTATCTATACCCCCTGACCCGTACCACCTCCTAACTGCAAACCTTCTACCTAGGAGCCATGAATATTACAGTTTTACTCATCATAACTATTTATTTATTTTATGTTCTCACCACTCAATTAAGACACAACCACTTGCTTCAAAAATAAATCTTTAACCAATAGAATATTAATAATAGAGTTATTATTATACTACACATGTATGAGTTAAAAATTTATTTCCGAAACAAGTGGCTGTGATTCAAGAGCATGCAGAGAAGAAAATGTTCAAAATAATGCTTTTTTCACTGTATAAAAAAATACAGAACTCTTCTCCCAGAGGTCATTCACAATATTGGAGGAGACATCTTGCACATCATATTTACGCACCGTATATATTTTATAAAATTATTGTTGTTTTGGTATTGTTTATACCCGTTTAGCTATTGAGGGTGGATTGCTCAACTTGTATTCAGCATATGTAATTTTTTGCCTTTAAAAGAAAACAAGTTATAAGACTTTACAATTTTATTTTAAAGAAACCGCAACTCAAATTACAATAAAATAATTAACTTTACAAAACCTTTTGAAGAAATATAAATAACATTTTTTGTCAACACATTACAGTCTAGTTGCGTTAACTTTTAAAATAGTACATAATTATAATTAATATAAAGATGATTGGATATACATGTACGTGCCTTAAAAGAAAACAAGTTGTAATTCAAAACACGGCCATTATATCTCCCAGAATCGGGGTTCATTACAATTTAACAACTTGTTAACTTTTTCAGTACCCATATGACGTGAACGCATGTGGTCATCGTGTGATCAGTGTTTTCGTAATTCTAATTAAGAATTAACCTCTGTCAAATTTGGAATTTTGTATTTCATTAATTCAATTTAAGACCTGTTCAAAGTCAATAATTAAGTTTGACAAAAATCAACATTGTTTTCTCCTGAGAACACTGACCACCTACATGAAATATTTGATCTATTTATAGTGATTGACTTTACTACTCAACCGCCTGGTCCAAATAAACAATTTGTAAAGAAGGGATACGAAATATTTTTACAATTTGTCAGTTATAAAATCAAGTGATTTCAAATATGATCATGCATTGGGTATTAAAATTACACACTTAAAACTAATAGATATTATTAAATTACAACGAAAATGTGAATAATATAAAAATTCTAAATTAATTACTTCCTCACCCATAAAAAAATTGGTGCTCCAAATTTATAATAAAAAAAATATTAGTGCCCAATATACATCGTTACATGACTTTCCTTGACAATATCATAAATACAATTGAAAATAATCGTTAAAGCTAGAACATCTCACTATGTACCTTTACTTTTAATACACAACAACTGTTCGTAATATTCACTGTTCGTAAGTTAAATCGAAGTCACCGATTCCTCAACGCCTCTAACAATTCACAATATTTTCACTTTAATTTGCACAGTTCACAAGTGGTTTTACGTTTATCTTTTAAGGTACTTATAGCGTCATGGAGATGTTTACGTAGTCCTTTTGGTACACTCCTTTTACTTTGATTATAGTTTTTGTACCATATGATGTAGCACCTCGAGCGTGTCGTCATTCGTTATCATCAAATAGGTACATGCACATAAAAAAAATATAATAATACGCAATACTGTAAGTATATATGTTTATATAATATTCTTGGGTATAATACATGAAAAATAGTACAGTTAGTAAATCTTATAATATTCCAGACTACAAATCGTTCATTTAAGCATTGAATTCTTCTTTTGAGAGTCTTCGGTCCTATAACACACCTGGCCGTGCCGACAAATTGAATACCGCGCGTTAGCGCGGTATGATAATATTTGTCGGCACGGCCAGGTGTGTTATAGGACCAGAGACATCCCAAAATATAAATTCAATGCTTATATTTACATTTTCTAATTTTCCTTCTTCATAATTGCGTATTTCGTCAATCTTTAATGTGAATTTAGCGCCCTTCAAAATAGCCGTGGTTAATAGATGTAAGAGCCGTTTGTGACGTCAAATGACGTTAAATGACATTGCAAAGTTAAATTACGCAAACAAGCATTGCGAGGAAAAAAATGACAAATTCCTAACGCACATTACGTTAATTTTTACGTTAATTTTTTAGGGTTATTGTTTTTAATTGGATTGAAATAAAACAATCTACGTTTGGGTGTTCCTAGAGTATTTAAAATGCATATAGTTCCTACTGTGTATTCACAAGGTGACAAGGTTTCGCGTGTGTTATAGAAATTTGAACGTCGTGGATTTCTAATGGATTTCATGAGGAAATACACTAAATGTAAATATAGTGCTATAAATCTGAAATAAACCTTGTAAAGATTCTGCAGTTACCTCTTCGGCACAATATTCAGTACTCAAAAGGAAAAAAAATATGATGAATGCGACATCTATAAAAAAAAACAAACATGAAAATGCATATGCAACTTGTATTTTTCAACACATTACAGTCTAGTTGCGTTAGTTTTAAGAAAGTATGCATATGCTACGAAACCAGGGGGGGGGGGGGGGGGCTAGGGGCTTAAATATGATTAATACAGAGATGGTTAGATTTACACGTACGTGCCTTAAAGAAAACAAGTTGTAAGATTTTACTGTTTTATTTTAGAGAAACCGCAACTGAGGTTATCAGGGCGCCTACGACCATTATATACCTCAGAACAGGTTTCCACGACAATCTCACAACTTGTTAGTTTTTCAGTACCCATATGACATGACCGCATGTAGTTATCGTGATATCAGTGCTTGCATTACAGAAAAAGCACGTTAGACCGCTCGGCTATGTGGGCAAGTCAAAAACTTGCTTTCGATGCCGATGGAATTCTCACAGCGCTGCCCTACACTACACATGTTAGGAGACAGAATCTGTAGGTCGAGAGTTCAACCGCGGACTAGGGCGGAAGTGGGTATCCTTATGAAATGTGCTTTCTATATTAATATTTCTTCACTTCGGGCAGTTATATTAATCTATTTTAAGAGTTCTGAAAATTGTACTTTATATATAATCATTTTTTTTTTCATTAACACAGGTACAAGTATTTGTAACGATCCTCTAATAAAGCTAATGTCCAAATAACTGTATATCACTTCTATTCTCAATGACCGTGTGCTGTAGGGCAGCCCTGTAAGAATTCCATCGGCATCGAAAGCAAGGTTTTGACTGCTCGGGATGAATACCGCGAGTCTAAACTCTGGAAGGGGGTGGAGATTGGAGGAAAACAGATGAAGATTGACCTCAAGGTCATTGAGCCATATAAAAAGGTCCTCTCTCATGGAGGTAAGGTTCAAGTGCAAAGTAAATACTGTATTTTTATAATAGGTCAAGGTCTTAATTACTATCTTTTCACAAGGACATAAAATAGAAGACTTTCGCATTGCCAAAGATTATCCCTTTTGCCAGCAGATCTTGCATTCTTAGTAAGTTACCTGTATATATATTCATTAAACCTTATACAGTTTTTCAATTTTGTAC